TCCCCCCTTCATTGCCAGGCCAAGCAAAGCACCACACAAGAACACATCGTGAGCACATACGGGCGCAAGATTCATGCTGCAGAACTCACACACGAATACAAAGGGATACACCTGCTCCATGGATACATTTCAATACAGGTCAGAGAATACTCAAAAGGGATCAGATTTCTACTCTGTCACCCTTTCTGTCACCAGTTGCACCCATCTGTAACACCCAGCCTAGTGCGTTTGGTCTCTGCAGCATTATCTGGTCTTGCAGCTTTGATAAAGTATAAAAACATAAACCTGCAAAATTGTAAAGTTTCACTGGCGATCCTGAGCAGCACATGGTACTTGTGAACATAAACAAGCTATAAGGCATTTATCTTTTTGTACTTTTATTGTCTGTTCCTTCAGGAAAAAAAAAAAAACAATAAAAATTAATCATAAAAAGAGAGCAAAGTACCATGAAAAAGCCTGTACAAGCACCTTCTGTGTAGAGGGAACCTTTCACTTAAGCTCCTGGCATGAACTTCCTTGGGCATCAGACAAACCACTTGTATCTTCCAAAAGGGCATGATGAGCTTTATATACCCAACAACAGCTTTTAACCACTTGCAAGCACTTTCCACCTTCTCTATCTAAATGCCCAGCACACCTCTCATGATAACCAAGCCTCATGACCTGTTGTTTTACAGAAGCAGGTCAGGAGAAAGGGGATTACATCAGGGCTACAGAGTGAGCTAGCACTGGACGACGTGCTCCAGGCCACTGGTGTGGGGAGTCGGGAGGATGCCCTCCTGTAGCCAGGGGAGAGCACAGACACACCAAAAGCTAAGGAAAGGGATGTCCTGGGGGTGACTCCACTCTTGCAGACACCCTTCCTGTGCTGTGCTGTCTTCTTCAAGAAAGAAGAGGGATGCGAGGTGTACTCCAGACCCAAGGAGTAATGTCAAGCAACCCCAGCAATCCTCCCACACACAGTCTATACCGAGCTTCCTGGCACAGGCAGCAAGCACAGGGAAAAGGGGAAAGCAGCAGCACAGCAGACAGGCTCCTGTGTAATGTCAACACCACTGCTTTTCCTACAGAGTTTATCTGGGAAACCATCATATTTCTACTCCAAGACAGTTTGCTGATTACCTAAGCACTTGTCTCTGGTGTACAATCTGATAATCAGGCCTGGTCTTTCTTTGTAGACAAAGAGGCCAATAAATCTCACCCTCTGTAAGTAGAGGTGCCTAGACAAAGCCCTTTACTGGCATTTAGTAAAATGGGTATTTTTCAGAAAACATAAACCAGCTGAAAGACAGTGGCAAACACTGGAGTTGTGCTGGCAGCAGCTCCACTGGATCTGGACACACAGCACGCCCTGGCTGTGTCCCCAGGGTCTCAGGGTAGGCCACCCCAGCGGCATGGGGCTGACCCCTGTGCCTCTTAGCGGGAGCCACCAACACCACAGGCCTCTACGCAGCCACTACAGCCTCAGCTGCAGATATGAAAGGATATTTGTGCAGCTGTTTAGTAAGATCCTCAGTATGACCAGCTCACCTGTGGCTCTTAGGGCAGAGCTTCAAAGTCTGCCTCGGATACGGGACCCAGGGACAATCCCAGTTACCCCTCCAGCACGATCCCACTCCCTGAACCTCACGGCAGATCGTACCACAGGCAGGGCAATCACCAAGAGACAGGGGCCATGCTGTGCAGTGAGCAGCATGGGTACAGCAGGGGATTGTCCAGGAGCTGGTGGCTTCCAGGCTAGGATTAAAACCAGCTCCCTAACCCATGCTGTTAATTTGCCAAATGTGGGGAGTTGGACCACTTTGTGCCACCGATACACACCGGAGGGGGTTCTGCAATCATTTTGCCTGCCAGCCTCAGCATTGCCCATTTTTATCCAACTCTGGACACAAGACACCAGACTGAAGTCAGCAGCAGGATCTGCAGCACAACGCTTCAGCTGGGATGCCTGTCCTGGGGACACATGACTGGCACACACACACGGCCTCACTTGCTCAAGGGCTCCATGCAGGAGACACCAACCTGCAGAGACACAAACAGCTGCTCCAGACTCCCGTGAGCAAGAGAAGACAGAGAAACCAGCACCGTGGCACAGGAGCATTAGATGGACAGAATGTCTCTGTCACAGGCTCAGCATCTAGAGAACCTCTCAATGTCCTCAGGCTGCAGCAGGCTGGAGGCTCCATTCAGCTTGGACAGCCACACCAAGCAAGTCAAGCAGACTCTCATGAAACAATAGAGCTGCCACCTTTGGCAGTGTGGGGAAGGACTTAACAGAGGAATTTCCAGAAAAAGGATTTTTAGTGGGAGTTAATGAGTGAGATGACTTCTCTCTAGAATTTAAGTGACATATGAAGCGGACATTTTGAGCTCTACCCTAGAAGATGACATTGCCCTTAACAAAGATCAGGTGTAAGCTGTGAGATTTATCACATTTGTACAAGCATATGTCCAACAAGTCTCATGGGGATAAGGACAGCCAAAGTAGTTGTCCAGCCTTCTAAGGCTGCAAAACTGTTTCCATTACAACCCTCTGTTTTCACACATTTATAGCTTTCTGAAAGTCCCTCACCTGGGAATAATGTTTTCAGTGCCTAGTCTTTTTTTTTTTCTCCAGTTTAAATAAAATACCTTCAGCTGGTTTTTAGTTACAAGAGAATAAAAAAAACTATTTGTTTTTACAATATGGAAATATGGAAGGGGTTGGTTGGTCCTGGAGGGGACTCCACCTAACACGGAGGAGTCATTTTTCATCAAGGTAGTACACACAGAACAAGCACTTAAAGGGTCTAAATCTGCAGCCACAGAGGTCGGGGAAAACACACTGCTATTTTGATGAGCCTGTATGAGACCAGGACAGAACAAAGAACTTGGACACCCTGATTCCCACAGTCAGTACTTTAGTTGCTGGGCTGGTCAACATCAAAATAATGGAGTAAAAGGAAAAAAGCCCAATGCAAACGAAACTTAGAAACTTTGTTTTGATGGCTGCAGCAGGTAGGAAGAACACACTTGCAGAAGCAATTAACTTTTTCTGTTGAATAAAGAAAAAAACCCAAACAAATAAAAAAACCTCACAAAACAACCATCAGGGATCACATTTACCACCTTCATCCTCTCATCTCTATGTGGGGAAAGGTGGCTGCGGCTCAAGAGCAGATGTCCTCAGCAATGAGAGTTAACCAAGTAACAAGAAGTCACTTCTTCAGCAATCATTTCAAGTGCCCCACAAGCATATCAAAAAGAAAGTCTTAAAAATATAGATGTGAAATACCCTACCACTCTGAAGGACTCATCAAATTTCAACACGTAGGCCCACAGGAGAGTCATTTAGAGCCTCTGAACCACGCAGCCGTATGACTTTCTTCTCTCAGACCATGTTCTTTTTGACCTGCCCCAGCAAAGAGCAGCATGGCACAATTATGAAGAGCTTATAGAAAGGCTACAGGATTTTGAGCATCAGCTAACTTGAGTGCTTTTATTTCGTGGCCACCCAGTTACACATTTGTTAGTCGTAAATACAACTGACCCCAGTTAGCAGATCACAGCTAGAGTTATTTATGAATCCAAACTGAGGCCTTTACACACTACTGCAATGACAAAAAAATTATTCCCCTTGTCCTTAACTTGAGGCTGGCATGACATGCTGCCTTGCAGCTGCATCATGAAGAGGTGACCCCAACCCCTGGTGCAATGAAAACCTGCTTCCCAGGGAGACGCTTGGAGCACCAGGGAACCTTCGCACTTTACCTCTGTACAGAAGGGCGTAAGCTGGGGATGCACCACAGGCTGAACATACATGTGAAAGGTGGACTCGATCTCCATCGTCCTGCCATTCAGCTTCAGGATAGGGAATTCGATGATTTCCTGAATAGGGCAAAAAGAAAAGCAGCTGTTCATTTAAAACAAACAAAAAAATGAAGTTGGCAATGATCTCTCTTAGCAAACTGGCTGTAAAAAGAGGGGCTTGACAATCCCAAACAAAAACAAGCCTGACATGAAGCTCTGCACTAAGAGGGGGAAAGTGGTGCTGGAGCACAGAGCACACCCAGCACTGAGCGCAGAGGAGGATGGTGCTGATGCTCATCACAGCTGGGAGGGGGGGCAGGGATGTCTCTGTGCTCAGCGCCGCAACCGTACACATCGCTGCCTAAGCCAGACCTAAGGAAAATGGTCTGGCACCGCCATGGAACTCAGAGATGCACTTGCAATGGGCTCACACCTGTTCAGAAAGGACACCCCGGGGTCTGTGCCCTCCCCAAGACCAGTCCCACCCTCTCCACCTTGCTGTCCTTTTGGAGGACACCACCAGACAGACAACAGGAGCTACTGCAGGAAGCACCTTCTTCGCAGGAGAGGCTGAAACCAAAGTTATCAGGGACACTGCTCTCCTCCAACAGAGTGAGGAGAGAAGCTGGAAGCCCCCACCAAAACCCATCCCTAGAGGATACAGCTCAGTAACAAGCCGTGCTTCATTTTCCTCTTTGTAGCCAATTTATGCTGATAGGGGAAATAAAAACGTTCTTCATCAGAAGAATGTTCAATTATTTGAATAATCAGCAATCAAAAATTTACATGGACCTGTTAATAAAAAGTTTAAACAAATCCAGTTGCGATGGATTTCTCAATTACTAAAAAATATACATGAAATTAAAAAAGCCACCCACTGAATAAAAGCGATAAAATCCTTTGTGTTCACCCCCCTCCTTCTCCACTCCCTCTTTTCCTTCCAGTTTAATCTAAGAGGAGAAGTGACAATTTGTTTGGTGTCTTTAAAGAATAATTTGTCTATGTTATTTAATAGAGATGCATGGCACTGAGGTTCTGGAGTGCAAATGAGCCCGTTGAGTGATATCCATGCAACAAGCCTCTCAAATCACTTCTGGAGAGAAACAGAGAGAGGGAGAGAGAACAAAAAAAATATTGCTTTTTAATATTCAAAAACAGTTTGCAAAATTTAATCAAAGCAGAGCAAAAGCTAACATTTTTACCACTTTGACATTTTTATTAGTGCTTTCATAAATTTTTAAAACATGAATGGAATTAGTTTAACAACAAAAAAAAACTGCCTGAAAACATCTGGAAGAGACAAATAAGAAATAATAAAAAATATAAAAAAGTCCAACTCCTGTGAGCAAAATTAGCATGTGGAAAATGCAGCCACTGCAAAGCAACTAACACAGCTTTTGGACCCTGGCTGCAAACCCCATGACCCACAGGCGGAAATTATCATGAGGTCATACATATGACCTGATGACATCATCACCCCAGCAGCCAGAGGGAGGGCAACAGGATGGGTGGGTAAACGGAATCAACAAATAATTTAAATAGCCAGGAGAAACACTTGATTCCATGGTGGACAGAGCTCATGGCCACAGCAGAGCAGCTCCCAGGAGCAGCAGGCACACACAGCCCAGACCAGCACACGTGGGGAGCATGTGCCACTGAGATAGAAAGTTCGAAAAAAAATAAAATAAAGAAGTGTTAACAGTGCTGCAATGCCCAGGTGTAGACACCAGCAGTCAAGCTGCAGAACACGCTGGGCTTCACTGTTTCCCCACGGCCGGCTGTGCCACATTCGGCGCGTGCCGTGCAGACACAGCAGAGTTGGGCACGTCCTTCGCCACAGTCACACCACCCCACCGGGAGTCACCAAGTTTCCTGAGGAAAGAGATAAAATTCCACACATGGGCTGGAAGGGGAAAAGGACACAGAGGCAAACCACCCGAGTATCGCTCTGATCACCTCTTGAGGTGCAGTCAAACTTACCAGCTTCAGCCACCCAGGACACCCCACAGAAACCTGAGAAATTCAATCTGCATTGAGAAACACTGGACAGAGCTGATCCTCCCTTCAAAACAACTACCACAGACAGGCTCTGAAAGCAGTAAATTTCTGTTCAGAAAGAATATGGACTGAAAAGTTTGAAGCCAACACACAGGATGTCATAACAGAAGCTTAACCCCAGGATAACACCACCCCAACCTTCACACCAGGCTGGGGCGGCTCATTGCCCCTTAGGTCTGCATCCCACTCAGGGGATGACTGTGGAAGTGGGTAAGCCCACGGCAGGGCAAGACAAGCATTTCCCTGCCCAGAGAGGGACAGGCACCGGCTGGATTTCACAGCAGGGCTGCGCTGCCACGACGAGATCTGTCCTAAGGGACCAGAAACATCCTCAGGGGCCATCAAGCGGCTGGATGCAAAGCCAGACTGAAAGCCAGCCCTGCTGCTGATCTGATACACAAAGGCGTCCTGCGCCTTCCAGAACCAAAGGCAAAAAGCACTTCCAGGAGGGTCGGATTAAGACAGACAGAGGAAATAAAAAGCTGTATTAAAAAAAAAATGTAGAAAATTTAGCAATATCCAGAATTTCTGCAGGATCTTTGGGAAGCACTGGGCCAGGACTGGGGACGGAACCCTAGGAGTGACCAGAGTGTCTCAGGAGAAAGCACAGCCACTCTTTTGGGCTTATTTGGTCAGTTTTCAAAGCAAGCGGTAAAGGATCTTTCCCAAAAGGCTGTTTATCTGCACGCTTCCTATAGCGGAGATTTTTTCCAGTCTCTGGCAGTGTTTGCTCCATTGGTATCTAAGGCAACAGATACCAGCCCCATGAAATCAGCCCCACTCCTCACTAACGAGGTTAGCCAGTCCTGCAATGAAATTTAACCTGTGACACTGCTGTACTTTTCATTTAAACTTTCATTTGGAGAGAAGCAGTGTTTGGAGACCCTGCAGTTTGTCCTGCTAATAAAGACAAGTGTTGGGACCTTTAAAGGTGCCATTCATCTTTTGCCTTTATTAAATTCAATTTTCTTAAGCCCATGATACATCATGAAATTAAGAGTTGACATTCCTGCAGAAACAAAAATATCTATCAAACATAAACAGAAAGAGGGGGAAGAGAAGAAAAAAAAAAAGGCCTCTATTACCAAGAATTTATGGCTTAAAGTTGATCTGTTTCCACTTTTTTTTTTCCTCTTTTTTTTTTTTTAACAAGCATATGGTTTGTTTTAGATATCCAAAATGTTATTACAGATCTAGAATTTCATTAGTAGCTATTATGAAATGGTGAGCACTTAGACACACACACACAACCCCCCAACAGACCATGATGCAGGAAGGCAGAGGAAGGCAGCCGGGCTCTCTCTCACACTTCACAGCAGCCCAGTGAGCTCAACACGCTCAGCTCCATCTCCACCGTCAAGGACCTTTGCTGCTTCTTCCCAGGTGGGAAAGGTGGAGATGAGTGGCACAAGGGAATTAACAGGAAGCAGATCACTGACACTTCTTTTATCAGAGTCTGACCATCCATAAGCGCTACCTTGAGATCCTCACCCATTTCCAACACTGAATACATGTTCCAGCTTCAGCAGTGATTTGTGCCAGCAGCATTTGGGGATTCTAAGTCTCTCCCCCTGCTGCCGGCTTTTCCTTACAGCACAACCAGAAGTTATAGATGTGCTGAAATAATGCTGAGGGTGTCCAGAGGCTGCAAACAGACACAGGCTACCAGAAGAACAAATGTACCCATTTGAATTTTGTGAGCACCACAATTATGTATTTTATTTAGCGCTGCAAAGTAACTTGAAAGGAAATCCAGGTTTCAAACCACCAGCAATAAATATGTGGTTTTTTATTTTCCTTTCATTGTCATGAAAAGTTGAACATGTTTTCTGTTGAGAAATTCTGCACGCAGCTCCCAATTACAAGGCATTTGCATTTATATTGTTGGAACACAGAGCTTCTAAAATCAATATTAACACGCTTAAAGAAAAAGACATCGGCACCCTGTCCCTCCCCTCAGCTGCGCCCCCAAACACGGCAACAATAGGAACCTACAGAGCCGGAGGCTTATACATATCCATTACCAGGTCCACTCTCTTTACAACAATCTTGCATTTATGATTTCATGGTATTTCAAGCAAATCTGTGTGACTGCTTGCTCAAAATTTTTATCTTAAAAAAAAAAACAAACCAAAAACCAAATAATAATGTTCCCAAGAAAAAGAGGTGCCAGGTGCAAGCCTCCTGTGCAACCTGGCTGTCCCAGGCCCGTGGGCTGAGCAGCAGCAGGAGGCTGCAGGGTTACTGTGGAATGGCTAGGGACTTCCTTTTAAGAGGTATTTGAAAAATTCATAAGGGCATGTGAAAGCACTGCTATAAACCCAGTCTTTCATCCTAAATGAAACTTCCCCCCCTTTAACACTGAGGCAGAGATGCACAAATTCAGCTGTCTTGATCTTGCTAATAAAAGAAACGAACAAGCACACAACTACACTCTCTAAATAATTTCCTGTAACAGATAGATCTCAAGTTCAGAGAAGAAAGCACCTGAAGTTACACTAATTCCCACAGACAAATCTTTCTGCTTATCATTTTGGATCTGGGGAGCACTAACATTGTTAGACAAAAAGAACACAGTGCCCAGCAAGAACTTCCTGGCTCTCAAAACCTTTTAATCCATAAGCCCACATGCAAAGTGGACAGGACACACTTCAGGACACTGATTTATATATTTGAGAAAGACTGTGTAGCCTGTTCAGTTCAAAAACTACCAGAAAATAATTTATCCTTTATGTCCACCCCCATGTGAAGAAGTTTAATAAACACAAGAATAAAAGATGCCCATAAAAATCAGAGCTGACTGTTCAAAATGCAATAAAAATAAGCAGAGGCTGTTGAGAGAAACAGATTTTTTTTCTGATAAGGAAAAGCATAAAACTTCCTACCAAAAGACCTCTTTACACCTTCTAAAAAGGTAAGGGTGGAAGAGGCAAGGGAGCTTCTGTGGAGAAGGGACAGGGTAGCACGAGCTCATTTTGTTGAGGGATGTTTCACCCCCCCCCACCCTTTTAAGAAAAAAG